GATAGATAGATAGATAGATAGATAGATAGATAGATAGATAGATAGATAGATAGATAGATAGATAGATAGATAGATAGATAGATAGATGCCAAAACGACAGCCCAACAGATAATGCTTTCACAAGTGGAGCAGTATGGCTGTCGCCGTAGTGTTCTGCTTGATTTATGCATATTAATATCTTTAATATAATTCATGCAGGGAGTATTACAGATTTTATGGACACTGTAATGTTAGTAGGGCAGGAAAGGAAATTGAGAAATACGGACAAAAGTTGAAAGAAAGGGGAGATAAAAGGGGGATAACGATAAAACATCTTCAGTCTGCTTCATCACCTGCAAAGAGATGTAAAAAGAACAGCACAACCAACGGACATAGTACGAGACATACAATAAAGTAACACCTAGATACTATCGCTTAAGTATAAGTAGTTTTATTTAATCTGACATGTATACTGTGGGAGTTGAAGATATGAATATGGGCTTTCTGTATGGAAGTGAATCTCAAAGTAGCTGGAACCAAGCACTTGTAGTTGTTTGTGAGAGTGCACTTGTACCTGTTAGATTTATCCAAAGGAAAAATGCTCAATATTGGTTGTGAAGAGCCGAAGACACGCCCCTCCAGAGCACTGAGGAGGGATGCGGGTGCTTAGCGGGAAAAAAATATCAATATTAAGTGTTTATATTTTGTGATGGACCCACACAAAGTATGCATATGAATGTAATAGAGTTGAATAGAGTATAATAGAATAGAGTATAAGAGAATAGAATAGAATAGAATAGTAATTCAATGATATTCACACAGTGGGAACCTTAGGAATGTTTTCAGCAGCAAGTAAAAAAAAAAAAAATTATATATATATATATATATATATATATATATATATAGAAGGTAAAAATGCTGCAGTTATCAAAAACAATATATAACAAAATCTAAAAGAACCAAAGACAATAGAATGTAATCCTTGATTGCCACCCCTTTGGGAAATTCAGGTTTCTCAGTGGCAAAACAAAAAGCTAAATGGAAGCCTGCAGGTCCATATATAAATTATATTAAGAAATCCCTATCTTAGGCTCTGCTTGAGAAAAATAAAAGTCCAAGCAGTCATTCACAGAAAGAAAAAGGCAAAAACTGTGCAAATATAAGCATGGATATATAAAACACGTGTCAAGATTGTTGAGAGCAGTGATGGCCATAAAGGCTAACAGGCTCTAGAAGGGAGGATTTAAGCTCCGCTGGATGCAGCAGTCATTCATTATAAGAGCTCTCCAGTCCATTTACAGCTTCATGTAACTTCATTGTCCAACAGTGATATTGCTTTTGCTGCAGTCCTTCTGTCTCCTACCACCTACACCGTTTACAGCTGGCATCTTAGGACAGAGCTTGCCCTCCAGATGAGCATAAACACTTGTTCTGCACTGCAGGTATATTTCTCCTTTAACATGCCACATCATAAATGATTGTTGATGCCACTACACAGTCATTGAAGGTCTTCAAGGGCGCCCCCTCCACTCTACAAGATCTCAGTCTCCCGAGCAGGTAGGGTCTACTCATCAGGGTTTTGACTGGATTCCAGTCTATTGTTAAGGTGAATGCATATTTAAATATGAGTACACAGTCTCAATATTACTTTTCTGGCTCTTCATCAATGTTATTGTAGTGGGACTTTGCCTTCGGAAGTCCACCACAAGCTCCTTTGTTATCTCTGCATTGAAGATAAGGAAGGTTTTACTGGCACCAATCTAAAAAGTGTACAATGCACATAATAGTCCACCATTACAGGGTTTTAATATTCAGTTTGGTTAATCTCCATAGCACCAATTCACAACACATGTCACCTCAAGGCCCTTTACAGAAACAATACTGTTAGATTGGTCAGGAAAACCAGTTGATTGCATCCAGTCATTGACTTGCCACACACGCTCGAGCTTGTAGCACTGACATTCGCTTGCATTGTGTTGATGACTCTTCAGCAATCCCTCATACCGAGCAGGCATGTAGCGACAGTGGAGAGGAAAAGCTCCCTTTTAACAGAAAGAAACCTCCAGCAAAACCAGCCTGTCATGATGTTACAAAGTTCAGACCCAAATGCAGAAAATCGAACAGAGAGACCAGGAAAAAGGTTTAACGGGTTTTATTGAAGAAGTTAAACAGGGGGAGAAGTGTTGCTCTGAACACTGTTCATCCAGAACTGTAAAGTGAGGGGAAGACACAGCGGTTAGTTCAGGCTCAGTGGGGAATTTGACTCGTGAACTTGGAGAAGAGGATTTGGTTGCCAACTCACGTTTCCAGAGAAGTTGTTGAATCCTTGACTCCTGTCTGTGTGCCGTGGTTCCAGTGTTTGTCTGATTCGGTGGAGGGCGGAACAGGGTTACCCAGAATAGGTTGCCAGTTGGTGAACGGAGAAACTGACTGCCACTCAGATTTCCTGCGGTATTTGAATGGGTCATAGTGGAGAATAATCCCTTTCTCAGTGGAAAGCTCAACCGATCTCTTGGGGAAAGTGGATCCAATCCTCCTGTTTGAACCCCTACTCAGTTTGAAGCTTAGTTGATCCTTCCAGGGAGAGAAGATCCGAGAAAACCAGTTTGCAGGACGACTTCCTGCTGAGAGGCAAAGACAAGAAACAAAGTTAAACTCAGGTTGAATAAAAAAAAAAACTCAGTTTGACTCGGCAAAACTGGCAAACACTCTGGCGTCGAGGTAGTGGCAGTCAGCAGCTTAAGAACGCTCCGTTTAACGAGGAAACCATCAGCAGGTGTGTGAGGAGGCGGACCAGAACCAGGCGCCTCCTGGTGGATGAAGGGAGACAAACACAGAAACACAAACACAAAAACAGGAGTCCTGACACAGCCTCAGTTTGAGCGGTTGAGCCTGACTGGGGTTCAAGGAGATATAACCAGACATAGAAAAAGAAACAGAGATACAAACAGTAACTGTTAACCAGCTCCACAGGTGGCCCAATCCAGGAAAGACACAACCAAGCAGACAAGCTCCAAGCCAGTAGAAAAAACAGGACTTAACTGAAAACAGGCAAAGCTCCAGAATCTATAAAGAGAGATATGGATGGCACCGGCACAGCTGATTTTGCTCTCCAGGATGGAGTCACAGCCGAACAGGAACAGACTATGCTACTATGACGAGAAAAAGCAGAGAAAACATACAGTTATGAACGGAACTTGACAAATACTGCAGAGTGAGAGAAGAGAGATGGAATGAAACAGAACAAGGAAAAGCAGTCACTATGTGATCCAGCAGCCCAAACGCAGCACAAATACAGAAAATAGATCAGGATAAATAACTATTTTGGATGAGGTATAGGAAAGAGAGAGCTAAGGACAAACTTCTGTCCAGACTTAAATTCTCCCCCACCAGATGGGGCTGTTAACACCCCCAACTACCTCTTTACTCATCCACCGACTAATCAAACATCACTCTATTTTTAACTATAAGCTTCATCAAAAACGAAAGTTTTAAGCTTTGCCCTAAAAGTAGACAGGGTGTCTGCCTCATGGACTAAAACTGGTAATTAGTTTCACAGGAGAGGAGCCTGTTAACTAAAAGATCTGCCTCCCATTCTACTTTTAGAAATTCTAGGAACCACTA